TAATACTTGAGAAGAGTTTAGTTAAATGCTAACAACGAACTATAAAAAAGACAACTTCCATATTGCAAAGTTCGAAAGATTAAGTTGGAAGCTGAAAAATCTGTGTTGGGCTCACTCCATTCGTAACATGCAGCTGAGGACCAGGAACTTTTGAATCCCTAGACCCACAGTCACGAGTTAAACAGCGTACTTTAGGTGGTGGCAAGACTGAAGGATCGGTCAGCAACATTTTATTGTCCGTCGAAGAAAGGCCGTTACCATTAGAATTACTGAAAGAAACATCAACACTATGGGACCTGGGAAACTCAGAAGGCTGAAGTGTAACACCGTATGGCCTTGCCAGCTTTCGCCACAGGCGATGAGTTGATACCAAACTATTGCTAGGCTTCGGCACCAATATGGCCTGGGAGGTTTGACACATATTTGGATTCGTGATGGGAATCTATATATGTATGAAGCAAGCCCAAAGAAACTGTTAAGGTCTTAGCCATCATTAATGTAAAACCAATTAATAACTTAGATCATAATTTGTCACAATATCTGATAATTTGGATAGAACAAATGAATAATCGTCAAAGCAGTTACATCGTATGACTGACTAAAATTATACTGAGTAAACGCCATATGACAATACTTCTCAAAATCAGAAAGATAAAACCTTCAAAAAGCCAAAAATGAGTACAAATAAAAAAGGCTCACCATAACCGCGGACGATACATTAACTGATTTCTTTGGCATTAGATCGTTCTGAGGGTGCAAGGGAGAATGTTTTTCCTGAATCAACAAACCGTCATTCGGAACATCATTTAACTCACGTCCCGCGTCCAGAGCAACTTCATCTATGGTCACATCATCCGGATGCTTCCTCGAAGTTGTTGGACAATCCGTCTTCGAGTAGAAAATGGGAGAGGAACGATGATCCGTGGAACCTTTAGATTCAATAAGTATAGGTTCGAAGGGTATTGGTGGGAAGATAGTTTCAGAAACAGGCCAGGAGAATGAAGGACGCTCACGATGCGAACTGAAAATAGAAGTCTTTAGTCTATTAAACAAAGCAACATCTTTTGTTTGTGACTGTCGCCAGCAAAAGTTTGAGGGTATAAGACTTGGACTAGCTGAACCACTAGATCTCAAATCCGCATCATAGGACTGGAGATAAGCAGAAAGTGGCGAGGGGGCTGCAACGCGATCACATATTATTCGACCGCCACGACCAAGGCGACGCCTTATATAGCCGGTATAGGTAAGATGCTTTGTATGACACAGTCGTGGAATTGTTGCTAATGTATAGCAGGAATAAGGTGAGCGGGAAGGATGGAGACTGGAAAGTGTGGAACACTCTTCTAGCAATGACCTAAGGAAATAAACACGAATACATAAACCTTACGTGAATATGAGATAAATGAAGGATAGTTGAATACGCTAACTTATCAAGCGTTAAGTTCGGACAATTACAGTTTCTCTAATAGTCGTTAAACGAGTACAGGAACACCATGTTTATGTCAAAAGAATTTAATACGAACGAAAACCCATACAAGTCCTGACTAGTAATTACGCTTATAGTGAAACGCCGTTTACGAAGTGATAACCAACGACTTCATTAAAAATTAGCTCAAATTGACCATGAATAAATGCTCAAGTCAGACCAGTTTCCACGCAATTGCTGCAGCTAACTCCGCACGACAGAACGCCTCGTTTCGTATTAACTATGTACCCTAAACTCTACCAAACTCTTGATGGCAATCACTAGGTGATTGGTCTGCACGAGTGACAAGGTACTGGCGGGGCAAGCCTCTAGAAAGGTCACCTGCTAAATACAACAGACAATGAGCATGTCACTTAGTTTACTAAAGACCGAGCCATTATCAGGAGGTCGCGTTTTACCTGGAGAGAATCATGGCAAAACCAGGGACGTCAATACGATACCGAGTGGCCTATGTGAACCAAAGCTTAGGAGTTCAGTCACTAGTGAGCACGAACTCGCGGTAACTTGTAATTCCGAGTTGAGTGACAACTACTCGAATGCTTTTAGCTAGTTATTCGTATTATCCCAACCTATGAAATTCCCTTGCTTGTGATACATAGTTCCCCTGTTTGATTCCACAACTATCTAACAAACCCATCAGACTGAGATCATGTTCAAGCGTGTCTTGGGAGACTTTCTCTTACGTACACAGAAGTCTGGTATATTGGATACAGTAGGGGTCTATACATGCTTGTTGTAGAATGGCCATGTCCAATAACTTAAGAAAATTATTCATACAACATAAGTGGTTTAGGTGATAAATACCCGGTGGAAATCCCACCGCGAGGGACTGTGATTACTTAGAATTTTACCAGAACTACTTAAGGCAAATAAATAAGAATGGTGAATTAAAATCTTATATTAAACAATAGACCTTTCCGCATCCATCATTAGCATTAATGCAAACACTATGTACAATAATTTGAGCAACCATTAGTCCACGATTGGAAACATTGAAAGATATATTGCGCTTTTAAAGTATAAATCAGGAAGTTTTCATCATGTACAGACGGAATTCATGGTTAGTGGTGCTATGCAATCCCAAATTATAGACGTCCTACTTAGTCTACTTATGAAAAGCTGTAGAAAAACGGACAGTGAGTATAACTCAACAAATAGACAAAAGTTTAGTATAGAAACACAGTAGGTCCGCTGGTTAACTATATACCTTGGCTTCAAATATCGGCAACCAGGAGTTCTAACAAAAGAGAATGGTCCACTTTGATCATCATCATCATCATCATTGTCAGAAGCCTCGTCGGAACTTGTGGAGTTTGGAAGATTGCTAAACCTCTTGACCAGTTTGCGCTTGCGATTAGGACGTCTTTTGTTGTCCTAAAAGAAATGAAATTCTTAGGCAGGTAACTTACTTTCAAAGACTTCATAGTTACTACACCTTCATCCTCGTGATGGTTCCGCACTAAAGTTTCGGCTTCTACGAGACTTGAGCCTTCCCAGTCGCATAGCTTACATCTAAGCTGAAAGCATCTGTAATCACAGTTAACAATTGCTTCCTTTGTAGCTTCACGTTTGACAAGTCGACCGAGTATCTCCCTAAGAAAATGCATTAGAATAAACGTTTTCAAACCCTAGAGAATCCATTTGTTCTCTTAAGATCAACATCCTTTCGTACGACTGCTCATCACTTTTTCGGTTTTTACGGGTTTGCATCTTTTCACTCCGTCTTCGGAACGCCACATATGGATCCGTGTTACTACCACCGTCACGTCGCTCTTGTCGAACAGCGTAAAGGAGAGGTTGCCTTGACTGAACACGCTTATTAAGCCAGTAATCATACACAGCGATAACTAGGGATGGGTGGTCTTGAAGAAGGTACTTAGCTTCTTCCAAATTCATTACCTATAAGCAATGAACTAGGGGAAGTATATATACCTTTTGACCACAACCACGCTCAAGCCGGTCGATCATAGACTCAAATTTCTCAGGAGTAATACCCAGATCACTTTTTTGGAACCACTCTTCATCTTCACTATCCATATCATATTCAATTGGTTCTTCTTCCGAGAACACGATCGCTTCACAGAAAATGTTACGTCAATGCACAACTTACTTCTGATATGTAAGAGCTGTTTCGGTAGACTAAAGCTGTCTGGGTAAACCCTCTTATAATCATTCTCTTTGTCAATTATCTCGGGGACAGGTATTTTAACATCTGAGTCTGTACGGAGTTGCAGGGCCTGAATAACCTCCAGAAAGTGATGTTCCTGGTAGGGAAAGTTAAAAAACGACATTAGTTCACGAACCACTTCTCCTAATAATCAAGTAAGCAATCGAAAATTAGAGACATAAGGACAATAACATACATCGTATTACTACATAAAAGCCTAAATTTTATTACATTTTCCTCCTCTTTCTCCATCCCGCTGGGAATCTGTGGAACGCCACGATTGACCAGTGCATTTTCACTGATTTCAAGAAATAATTCAGAACCATGCTTCAGAATAGGTAAGGGTTTGTTAAAATCTATTTGTCGAGCTCGAAATGAGACTTTGCTCATAGCTGAAAACAAGAACAAGAAAAGCAAGCTCATTGATAGCTAGTGAACATAGTTCCTATGTTATTGAAAGCTCAAGAAAAACTGTAAACTAAGTATGTACATTGATTTACAATTTCATATTAAGGATATCATAACTCAATAACCTTAATTATTTTAATCTTTTGGCCCCACTCCAATATGGCGCGGGGTCATTTAAGTGAAATCCAGTATGGCGGTTCAATCGTCTGCAAATGGCCGGCAAGATGGAGGAAAACGTATATCATTAGCCAATTATAACAACTTCGTAACGTCTTAAAGATATTTTCGATTTCGCAACTTCGAAATATGGCTCAAAACTTTTTCTTTCTGAATTTTTTTCATATATTTTTAAAGAGTCTGCTGAAGTATTGTTTTTTGCCTACGAGGTAGAACTTTATTAAGTAGTTCACAGCAATTATGGTGTTCCTAGAATTCAAAAGAAAAAGACTTTGCCTCAAAATTCGTCCGATAGCTCTGTCCTAATTTTTCTTTATTCATAGTCTAATGTAACCTATCTTTGACATGTTACAATGCATATTGCCTTCATATTTACCACCGGTAATAGGATATTTGATCTTTGTTGTGACCATATTATTAAGCTCCACATACAGTACATAGCATCAATGGTAACTTCACAAACTTCGGCAACAGCTCGCAAAGACATAAGATATAGAACTAAGAAACGTAACCATGTAAATCACTATTATTCACGAGTGATGAGTTTCTAAATTTCATCAGGAAAAACCATCCTTAGTTATCGCTGTGTATGATTACTGGCTTAATAAGCGTGTTCAGTCAAGGCAACCTCTCCTTTACGCTGTTCGACAAGAGCGACGTGACGGTGGTAGTAACACGGATCCATATGTGGCGTTCCGAAGACGGAGTGAAAAGATGCAAACCCGTAAAAACCGAAAAAGTGATGAGCAGTCGTACGAAAGGATGTTGATCTTAAGAGAACAAATGGATTCTCTAGGGTTTGAAAACGTTTATTCTAATGCATTTTCTTAGGGAGATACTCGGTCGACTTGTCAAACGTGAAGCTACAAAGGAAGCAATTGTTAACTGTGATTACAGATGCTTTCAGCTTAGATGTAAGCTATGCGACTGGGAAGGCTCAAGTCTCGTAGAAGCCGAAACTTTAGTGCGGAACCATCACGAGGATGAAGGTGTAGTAACTATGAAGTCTTTGAAAGTAAGTTACCTGCCTAAGAATTTCATTTCTTTTAGGACAACAAAAGACGTCCTAATCGCAAGCGCAAACTGGTCAAGAGGTTTAGCAATCTTCCAAACTCCACAAGTTCCGACGAGGCTTCTGACAATGATGATGATGATGATGATCAAAGTGGACCATTCTCTTTTGTTAGAACTCCTGGTTGCCGATATTTGAAGCCAAGGTATATAGTTAACCAGCGGACCTACTGTGTTTCTATACTAAACTTTTGTCTATTTGTTGAGTTATACTCACTGTCCGTTTTTCTACAGCTTTTCATAAGTAGACTAAGTAGGACGTCTATAATTTGGGATTGCATAGCACCACTAACCATGAATTCCGTCTGTACATGATGAAAACTTCCTGATTTATACTTTAAAAGCGCAATATATCTTTCAATGTTTCCAATCGTGGACTAATGGTTGCTCAAATTATTGTACATAGTGTTTGCATTAATGCTAATGATGGATGCGGAAAGGTCTATTGTTTAATATAAGATTTTAATTCACCATTCTTATTTATTTGCCTTAAGTAGTTCTGGTAAAATTCTAAGTAATCACAGTCCCTCGCGGTGGGATTTCCACCGGGTATTTATCACCTAAACCACTTATGTTGTATGAATAATTTTCTTAAGTTATTGGACATGGCCATTCTACAACAAGCATGTATAGACCCCTACTGTATCCAATATACCAGACTTCTGTGTACGTAAGAGAAAGTCTCCCAAGACACGCTTGAACATGATCTCAGTCTGATGGGTTTGTTAGATAGTTGTGGAATCAAACAGGGGAACTATGTATCACAAGCAAGGGAATTTCATAGGTTGGGATAATACGAATAACTAGCTAAAAGCATTCGAGTAGTTGTCACTCAACTCGGAATTACAAGTTACCGCGAGTTCGTGCTCACTAGTGACTGAACTCCTAAGCTTTGGTTCACATAGGCCACTCGGTATCGTATTGACGTTCCTGATTTTGCCATGATTCTCTCCAGGTAAAACGCGACCTCCTGATAATGGCTCGGTCTTTAGTAAACTAAGTGACATGCTCATTGTCTGTTGTATTTAGCAGGTGACCTTTCTAGAGGCTTGCCCCGCCAGTACCTTGTCACTCGTGCAGACCAATCACCTAGTGATTGCCATCAAGAGTTTGGTAGAGTTTAGGGTACATAGTTAATACGAAACGAGGCGTTCTGTCGTGCGGAGTTAGCTGCAGCAATTGCGTGGAAACTGGTCTGACTTGAGCATTTATTCATGGTCAATTTGAGCTAATTTTTAATGAAGTCGTTGGTTATCACTTCGTAAACGGCGTTTCACTATAGGCGTAATTACTAGTCAGGACTTGTATGGGTTTTCGTTCGTATTAAATTCTTTTGACATAAACATGGTGTTCCTGTACTCGTTTAACGACTATTAGAGAAACTGTAATTGTCCGAACTTAACGCTTGATAAGTTAGCGTATTCAACTATCCTTCATTTATCTCATATTCACGTAAGGTTTATGTATTCGTGTTTATTTCCTTAGGTCATTGCTAGAAGAGTGTTCCACACTTTCCAGTCTCCATCCTTCCCGCTCACCTTATTCCTGCTATACATTAGCAACAATTCCACGACTGTGTCATACAAAGCATCTTACCTATACCGGCTATATAAGGCGTCGCCTTGGTCGTGGCGGTCGAATAATATGTGATCGCGTTGCAGCCCCCTCGCCACTTTCTGCTTATCTCCAGTCCTATGATGCGGATTTGAGATCTAGTGGTTCAGCTAGTCCAAGTCTTATACCCTCAAACTTTTGCTGGCGACAGTCACAAACAAAAGATGTTGCTTTGTTTAATAGACTAAAGACTTCTATTTTCAGTTCGCATCGTGAGCGTCCTTCATTCTCCTGGCCTGTTTCTGAAACTATCTTCCCACCAATACCCTTCGAACCTATACTTATTGAATCTAAAGGTTCCACGGATCATCGTTCCTCTCCCATTTTCTACTCGAAGACGGATTGTCCAACAACTTCGAGGAAGCATCCGGATGATGTGACCATAGATGAAGTTGCTCTGGACGCGGGACGTGAGTTAAATGATGTTCCGAATGACGGTTTGTTGATTCAGGAAAAACATTCTCCCTTGCACCCTCAGAACGATCTAATGCCAAAGAAATCAGTTAATGTATCGTCCGCGGTTATGGTGAGCCTTTTTTATTTGTACTCATTTTTGGCTTTTTGAAGGTTTTATCTTTCTGATTTTGAGAAGTATTGTCATATGGCGTTTACTCAGTATAATTTTAGTCAGTCATACGATGTAACTGCTTTGACGATTATTCATTTGTTCTATCCAAATTATCAGATATTGTGACAAATTATGATCTAAGTTATTAATTGGTTTTACATTAATGATGGCTAAGACCTTAACAGTTTCTTTGGGCTTGCTTCATACATATATAGATTCCCATCACGAATCCAAATATGTGTCAAACCTCCCAGGCCATATTGGTGCCGAAGCCTAGCAATAGTTTGGTATCAACTCATCGCCTGTGGCGAAAGCTGGCAAGGCCATACGGTGTTACACTTCAGCCTTCTGAGTTTCCCAGGTCCCATAGTGTTGATGTTTCTTTCAGTAATTCTAATGGTAACGGCCTTTCTTCGACGGACAATAAAATGTTGCTGACCGATCCTTCAGTCTTGCCACCACCTAAAGTACGCTGTTTAACTCGTGACTGTGGGTCTAGGGATTCAAAAGTTCCTGGTCCTCAGCTGCATGTTACGAATGGAGTGAGCCCAACACAGATTTTTCAGCTTCCAACTTAATCTTTCGAACTTTGCAATATGGAAGTTGTCTTTTTTATAGTTCGTTGTTAGCATTTAACTAAACTCTTCTCAAGTATTACCTCATTATACCTTTTGTGAACAGTTTATTTGCAATCCCAGTGGTATGATCTTGTAGCTTTTGTAAAGCTTATTATTATTGCGCTTCTGCGCTTCAGTTGTACATAGGGGCCTTCACGGCCACCCCCTTTCATTTTCCCTGTACACTTTCCCCTTCGCTCCAACGAGCTTGTACATTTTATTGGCGCATAGCGTCGTATGTCAATTGAATCAATGCATAATCTGAATGAATTGTTTTCTTTTTTATGTAGTTGTGATAAATTTGTTTGTACCTTGGTACTTTGTTGTTTTATCGAAATAAGGGTTAATGTATATTTCTAAAGATAAATACCAATTTTACTGGTTAACAAGTTAAGTGTACCCCCCTGAATATGATTAACCAGCCAAAGTGTAAGAGGTCGGATCCAATATAGGCTATGTAGTTTTTCACGTCCAATTGTTTGTTAGTTTGTTGAACTCGTAAGTCAAAAATGGAGAATGAATCTCTCACTAACCTGTGGGTGTTCTTGTAAATTTACTGAGTACGAGTTGTCAGCTTTTGTACATGTTAAGTCCTTGTTTTTTGAGGTTACGTGCTTCAAGCGACTATCATGTTTGGTCACATGGGCGCAAGCACCTGGAGCTTTTTCGAAGTCGTCGACACGTATTAATTATAAGCAAACTTACGATATGCCATGAGGTGGTGCTTACTAAGGCTGGTGTTCTATAGTCACCTTGTCTTTGTGGTTTTGCGTTGTGTCTGTACAGTTATTTGTCGATAAGCAAGGATATGTTTGATTTATTGGTATACTTAGTCGCCCAATTGTTCGTCATCTCGCTTCTGATGTGTGTCGTCCTAGTTACGCTACCGAAATGTCCTACTTCGGAAAATTTCCGTAAATTCAGCAGTTTTGCTACTGGAAGTAAAATGATGGTACTCCAAATTTTGGTCATTGTGTACGTTGCTGAATCAGGGTACTAACGTTCTGTAAGAAATCAATGTTTGCTTTAAAATGTATTGCCACAATAAGAGCTTACGTCCTAAAGAGGATAGCTAAGTTTGAGATAAACATGTTACTTCAAATTAATTTATGAAGTTTAGGATTGTTGGGGGAATAAAGTAAAGAATGTTGTTATTGGAGTCAACACTGTAATTTTCACATGGATCAGCTTATAAGTCAACTGGAACTATAAGATTAGTGGTTGAGGTAAATAAAAATAACAGTGTGAGATAGTAATATGCTGTGAACCTAGTAGACGCTTAATTTCCTTGAGCTAGGGATTTCAGTTAGTAGACTCTTTACAACTACAGTAGTACTTCCGTTATTTTGAAGTGCTTCCTCTGTAGGAAAATTTCATTCGAATCAAAATAATGAACTAGTTCAACTGAACTTAATGCTGAATTTTGCTTGAATATGTCGATTCTAAAGTTGACACATCCCACATCAACACAATATAATAGGTCAATACAATGATGAATGACAATAATATCAGATCTAATGTAGAACTAAACATAAAAGCTGATGTTGGGAAAGAAGTTAGTTCTAATAAAGGGAAGTATATAATAAGTTTATATTCAAAGCATGGCGGATGGACTGTAGTTGATTATCCCAAGCCCAAATTATTGCTGATCCTATCTTGAATCATATCAGAGCTTAATGACACGGCTGTCTGACAATCAGTGACTTATTTGGTTGGAGCTATATCTTGACCTCTCGGCGGTTAGCTTTTTTACAATCTAGGCACATAGGACATGTTTCAACCATACTACTTGAGGATGTTTGTATTCTCATCTTTGGCAAAACTCCAGACTTGGGGGTCGGGGTCGGTAGGCATGTCTGTGTCCTAGGAACCTGTTGAAGAGTAAATATTTCTTCGATACATCTGTGAGCAGGTCTGAAACCCGCTTGATTACCCAGTATTTGTTGTATCTGGGCTCCTACTAAATGTCGGATGGCAGTTGGAGCTAATATAATAGGCAATTAATGAGCGGTTCGTATCTAATTGTCGTGAGTGATTTTCTATACTTTTCCCGAAACTGAGACGATCTAAATTTTAAGACTAGGCTACTGTCCATAAGAGCTCATGCTGTTAATCTGTCAGAACCAGTTAATCTTTATTTCAAATTAGTCAAAGTCTTCCCAATTTTATTCGACAGACACCCTTAACCTTTTACTACAGACCATGTCGGGCAACATCAGGGTGACTATCTTCATGCTCGACCGAGTGCCTGGTTAGGCTTTAAACACACTTAACGAGCGGAGTTCGAAGCAGTTTTCTCGCTATGATTTTTCCGTACTCAGTAACACTTAGGTAAACATGCTTAGAAGAGGGAGTGGTTGAAGTCCATAAAGAGAAGGGATAGTCCCTTTCAAGAGCTCGCCAACAATACGTGACAAGTTTCGAGACAAACTGTCGAAATCTTAAATATTTATATGGAAATGTACTTATTCCGAAAGCTGGCTGTCCTAGGTTTGACAACTAAGTGAGTACTGGGTGCGAACTAAGATTACCTGACCAAAATGACAGCTATTCAGTGATCGGTAGTTTCCAATCATTCTCCAGATATTATCCCATGGTTGGAATCTTCACTTCGAATAAGTCCGCATAAATCATCAATCTTAAAATCTGTTTAGTTCCTAACTAATCTCTAAACCACTAACAACCCTTCAAGAAATACAGTTCAAAACAATACTTTGTATATCAAAATAAATCAAATTCCACCGGCACACAAACGTGCATCTATCGGCAGATAATCTCTGATTACCTCTGACTATTTTAAGCTAACTTCTTATGTGTTTGAAAATCAAGCTACGATCAATTGCGAGTATAAACTACAGTACAACATCGTATGATAATAAATAATTTTGATAGCATATTGAATTTATTTGGTCGACGTAAAAATAAACTCTAATAGTCGATATAAGCTTTTCTACCTGACCAGTATGTTTACTGTAGTTCTCGTTGTTTGGGTTCAATATTGTATGAAGAACGATAATGCAATTAATAAAAGGTTTCATTGTTACTTTTTGTAACAGTTCTTTGAACTAGTTGTTTGGAATACTCTTTGGGTAGTGGTTACTAGTCAAATGTAGGACAGTTGTTACGTCTTATTTAGGATTTGTCAGCAGAACGAACTTGCATTCGGAGGTTAATATTCATTATTGAATGCCATTCAAAGAAATAATCAACTATCAGACACAGGTATTGCCAGAATGTTCACCCAAAACGGCCTTTATTTCAACAAGGGTTTATCATGTCAGACCTCAACAATGAGATCGAAGTCATTACAGTTGACAAAAATAATAGTAATAAAAATAATTATTATAGGGAAGGAGAATACAAAAGCTGCTTAAGAAACATACTGCCTGATGTCTGAATAGTGGCACAAACATTCCGTGCGTATTTATAATTCAGTAAACTAATTCAGACAACCCCGTAATGGTAATAATTTCGGCTACGCGAATAATCAGGTTAATATAGCCCAGTTTTTGTAGCTTCCCATTTTCCATTGATCTCTGATGCATCATGTTATTTACTCAGTTTTTCTCCGGACATTATGTCTAGAGGTATCGTCACCTCAGTCCTATATTCGTTCCCTCAAGTGGTGATAGGTATGCACTGTTTAGATGATTACCTACACTTCTTACTCCTCGTGGGAGCATAGGCCACCGACCAGAATCCTCCAGCCAACTCAGTCCTAGGTTCTCCTTTCCGGTTGTTTACAATTGCTACTCATTCTTTTGATGCCTACCCTTAATTCCTGACACAATGTGTTCACTAGTCTCCTTCTCTTCCTTTAGCCTTCACAATTCCAAGTTAGGATTCGCCTCGTAGTGCAATTTGACGATCTCCTCAATGTACATCCTATCTACCTCCAATGTCTTTTCCTAATTTCCTCTTCAGATGGAAGTTCGTTTGTTTTTTTCCACAGTAGGTTGTTGGTGGTGGTATCCGGCCAATGGATATGGAGCATCTTGCACAGACAACTGTTTATAAATACCTGTATGTTTTTGATGATGGTTGTAGTAGTTCTCCAAGTTTCAGCTCGGTATAATAGAACTGTCTTGAAATTTGTATTGAAGAGTCAGACTTTGATGTTGGCTGACAGTTGTTTTGAGTTCCATGTGTTATTCGATTGTAGGAATTCTGGTCTTGCTTCGCCAATCTGTGCCTTTACATCTACATCAAGTCCTCCTTGCTTATCGACAATGCTGCTCAGGTATGTGAAAGTTCCCCACCTCCTACAGGGCTTCTCCATCAAGTGCGATTGGGTTGGTGTTCTCCGTGCTGTATTTCAAAATCTTGCTGTTTGCTATGTGTATGTTGAGGTCTACTGCTGAAGAGGCTGCTGCTACACGGGTTTTCTTGACCTGCATTCGTTGGTGTATGGCATAGAAGGACTAGGTCATCTAAAAAGTCCAAATTGTCTAGCTGCATCCAAGCCGCAAACTGTATTCTGTGCTTTTCCTGATATTTGGAGATCTTCATGATCCAATCAACTAACAGAAGAAAAAGAAATGGCGAGAGTAAGCAACCTTGTCTGACACCGATCTTTACTTGGAATGCATCTGTCAGCTGTCTTCCATACACCACTTTGCACTTTATTCCGTTGTATGAATTCCGTATGATGTTGACAACCTTCTCAGGTACACCATGGTGTTGCAGAAGTTTCCATAAGGTTCTCCTATCCATGCTGTAAAATGCTTTCCCATAGCGCTGTTTAGATGCCCAGAATTATTACAGAACATTTAGCTGTTAGTCTCAATATTGTTTTCAGTGGCATTAAAAACTAATTTCATGTATGATAATCATTAGTTTGAAACAAATATTTATTCACAGTTTCCAATCCCGAACGCAAAAATAATAACGTTTATTTTTGTTGCAATGTTGGCTTAGTGGTCAAACGAGTGGAACTTCGAAAATTAGTCTGCGAGTTTGAA